AGGAGCCCCTAGTAGCTTCTTGTTCCTAGTAGTAAGGCCAGGAGCCCCTAGGAGCTTCTTGTTCCTAGTAGTAAGGCCAGGAGCCCCTAGTAGCTTCTTGTTCCTAGTAGTAAGGCCAGGAGCCTCTAGTAGCTTCTTGTTCCTAGTAGTAAGGCCAGGAGTTCGTAGTAGATTCTTGTTCCTAGTAGCAAGGCAAGGAGCCCCTAGTAGCTTCTTGTTCCTAGTAGTAAGGCCAGGAGCCCCTAGGAGCTTCTTGTTCCTAGTAGTAAGGCCAGGATCCACTAGTAGCTTCTTGTTCCTAGTAGTAAGGCCAGGGGCCCCTAATAGCGTCCTGCTCCCAGTAGTAAGGCCAGGAGCCCCTAGTAGCGTCCTGCTCCCAGTAGTAAGGCCAGGAGCCCCTAGTAATGTCCTGCTCCTAGTAGTAAGGCCAGGAGCTCCTAGTAGCGTCCTGCTCCTAGTAGTAAGGCCAGGAGCCCCCAATGTTGACACAGGCTTAAGTAACCACTTCGTATTAATCAATCCCAGCTCGATCCCCCCAATACTAAACCACCTTCGTATCACCCTAATATTTTTTTAATCTACCAGAAACCTCCCCCTAGCAAAAAATGTTTTATATTTATTGATTATTTATTTTCTTTTTGGCTAGTATCCGATATCCTTTGGTCCTCAAAACCTCTCTAGCAAAACTCTTTCATTTTCCCTTTTTAAAACTCTATCAAAATCTTAACGTTTTCTAGCTCACAAAGGGTACCTACCTCTCTCACAGGCCTCAGTGTTCACACAGAATCATATCAACCATCATCCATCATCAGGTCATCACCTTTATCAGGGGGATGTGGTCCTCAGATACCTCCACTCTCAGACCTTGTTGACCTTGAAGGGGGGGGGTCCCCGTTTATTAATCCGGTGTCGAGATTAGTAGTTTCTTGTTCCTAGTAGCATCCAAGGTCCATTGCTGCGATGTATATCATGGCTGCGAGGAGATCCAGGCAGAGGTGGCTTATGTTCTATCAGATGTTCTGCGCTGGCTGCAGCTGGTGGACGAGCACCGCGCCACGCGGACCTGGGCACCTAACTTCGCGCTCCACGGCGCAAAAAGATTCCAAAGAGATTCCATGAGAGGTAGAAGATGTGCTGATTTATCAGTGTTCAGGCTGATTTATCAGTGACCATGGGGATTCTTACATGTCGTGTTTGTTTGCTTTCGGCGTTGAGTAGCGTAATTGTTCATTTCCCACCGTCCCTCCTTTCTCACAGCCTACCCGGCTCCATGAAAAGATGGAACCACTAAGCTAAGGTTCAAACTGGTGGCGGAAGCCTTGAGGCAAGAAAAGGAGAAACCAAAGTTCGACTTGTCTTGCTGCAAGTTCTGGATGAATGCAGGAGAGTCAGGACCTCAGAAAAACGAGTTCAATCAAATATGGTGAAAGTTAACAGCAGAAGGAACCTGCTAGCAATGGCCTCCAACCTAAGAGTGATGGCCTCCAACCTACTAGCGATGGCCTCCAACCTAGAAGACGCTGAGCTGAGAGATGCGCCAAGGCAAGTGACCGTCCCTGTGTGTGAAGCATTTCTGGAAGAGACTGAAATGTATGGAGTTTCAAGAAGTTCCTTACAGCCCTCTTTCGGCATGGCAGAGGCTGGAGTCTCTGGCAGAGCGTGGCTGAAGCCTGTTCTTGACAGTTTAGACTGGTGTTTGCTTTCGAGATGCTGTGCAAGGCGTGTACATGCATGACCTACAACAATCAATTCGAGGCCTGGCTGGAAGAATGCAAAACATGCAGCACCTCCATTTCGGAGTGACATCGCTACTAGGGTGGAGGCCATCGCTACTAGGTTGGAGGCCATTGCTACTATTTGTTTGTGATTTGAGCAGGTTGCTGCTGCCAGCCGCTTGGGACGCTCGGCCTTTGTGAATTTGGGCCCTCCAGTGCCGGGCATCGAGATCCGCATTGCCAACGAAGACGGAGAGACCCTCGCAGAGGAGGAGGTTGGGCGCTTCCAGATCAGAGGAGCGCAGGTGAGTGGTGAAAATGCTAGCGCTGACAGGTGCTGACAGGCTAGAACATCTAGAACAGTCTTAGAGGCCATCGCTCTTAGGTTGGAGGCCATCCCTAGTAGGTTGGAGGTCAGTAGTTGATTGGTTGCAGTTTTTGTTCCCGATCTGGACTTGCTAGGACCTGTGATTACACCCGGATACCTGAAAAATGAAGAAGCCAACAAGGAGGCCTTTGTTGAGGATGATTGGTTCAACACCGGTGACATTGGATTCCTCCGAGCGGGCCAACTTTATCTTACTGGACACTTTGATGTGCTGGCCTTTCGCACATCCTAGATTCTGCATTGCATGACCAAGCCAATCATGTTGCAATCAGAGTTGCTCAGGAAGAGAGAAGGAGATGATCATCATTCGTGGGGCAAACTTCTACTGTTACGAGGTTGCTGTGTTTCAAGACCGTGGCCAAGAAAGAACAAAGCAAAGGACAAGGAATACTTCTGGAGATTTATTACATGGGCAACATATGCACAATCACATCACCATATGCATAAGGAGCACCCTTCTTGAAAAAGAGAAAGCACGTTCACCTTCTGCACTTTGGGCTCAACAAGAACGCTACTAGGGGCTCCTGGCCTTACTAGGAACAAGAACGCTACTAGGAGCAAGGCATCGCTACTAGTAACAAAGGGCATCGCTACTAGGAGCAAGGACGCTACTAGGGGCTCCTGGCCTTACTACTGGTAACAAGAGGATGCTACTAGGAGCAAAGGGCATCGCTACGAACAGAGCGATCGGACGTGACCTTCGCTCACCTTCAGGTGGAAGATGTGGTGAACTCGATGGACTCCGTTACAGCCACCTTCACCGCAGCCGTGTCCCTTCACGACCCCACCTCGGGCACCGAAGGCGAAGAACATGACCATTTAGTGTTCATTTGCAATCGCTATCAGGTTGGAGGCCATCGCTATCAGGATATACACACTATACTGTCATTATCTTTCTAGGGGAGTGCGCTGAATAGGATGTAGACAAATTCTAGCAAGAATGACGCTACGGCTTACTTTTGATTACCTCTTGGGAGAGCACCTTTGCCATGTCCAACCACCTTCATGTTTTGAGTGGTGCATTTGCACCCTTTTAAGAGGCCTTGCAATCTTTTTCGTGCCTCGGCGAGCTGCCTTGGATTCAGAGGAGGCTCGCCGAGGCTTTATCGACATGTGTTTAGAAAGGTCTTCCTTTTCCTATCTATTTGTTTCCAAATAGTGATGGCCTCCAACCTAAGAGCGATGGCCTCCAACCTACTAGCAATGGCCTCCAACCTACTAGCAATCAATGGCCTCCAGCCTACTAGCAATGGCCTCCAACCTTCTATCGATGGCCCAACCTAGTATCGATGGCCTCCAGCCTACTAGCAATGGCCTCCAACCT